TTACTATCCAAAATCTATAAAGAACTTATCGAACTCAACACCCAAAGAAAAAATAATCCAGTCGAGAAATGGGCAGAAGACATGAATAGACGCTTTTCCAAAAAAGACATCCGGATGGTTAACAGACACATGAGAAGATGCTCAACATTACTCATCATCAGGGAAATACAAATCAAAACCACGATGAGACACCACCTCACACAGGTCAGAATGGCTAAAATTAACAACACAAGAAACAACAGATTTTGCAGGGATGTAGAGAAAGGGGAACCCTCTTGAACTGTTGGTGGGAATGCAAACTGGTGTAGCCACTCTGGAGAACAGTATGGAAGTTCCTCAAAAAGTTAAAATAGAACTACCCTATGATCCAGCAATTGCACTACTAGGTATTTACCCAAAGGGTACAAAAATACAGATTCGAAGGGGTACATGCACCCCAATGTTTACAGCAGCATTATCAAAAATAGCTAAACTATGGAGAGAGTCCATTTGTCTATCAACTGATGAATGGATAAAGAAGAGGGGGTATATATAAATATACAATGGAATATTACTCAGCCATCAAAAAGATGAAATCTTGCCATTTGCATGACATGTATGGAGCTAGAGTGTATTATGCTAAGCAAAATAAGTCAGTCAGAGAAAGACAAATACCATATGCTCTCACTCATATGTGGAATTTAAGAAACAAACCAGATGAACATATGGGAAGGGGGAAAAAAGGGGAGAGAGAAACAAACCATAAGAGACTCTTATGATAGAGAACAAAGTGAGGCTTGATGGAGGGAGGTGGGTGGGGGATGGGCTAGATGGGTGATGAGTATTAAGGAGGGCACTTGTGATGAGCAGTGGGTGTTGTATGGAAGTGAGGAACCACTGAATTCTACTCCAGAAACCAATATTGCACTGTGTATTAACTAAAATTAAACAACAACAACAACAAAAAACTTTAGTGATGGTAACTAGATAGGTATAGAAAAATAGCTTCAATTTATTGCTTCGTTTTTTCTTTTAAAATTGGTTAGTTTATACAAAAGGTGAGATTGTATTTTATAAACCATATATTGGTGTATGTTCTTACAAAGGATTTTTAATTTCTTTCTGGGTATGAGTGGGGCAATGTGTATGATGCAAATGGATGTTAATATACTAGAAGTATTTCAATGATTTATGAGAAAACTATGAGAGACCTGAGATTGCTGTGGAAATTTCAGTTTACATAATCACCATAGGTATGCATCATAAGTAAATAGTTTGCTGTTACCCATAGATAGAAATACTGAGCACAACAGCCTATCAGCTAAATGCATTTTATATAGAATTATTACTGTCTAATCTTGATAAAGAATTTGTTATGCAAAGCAATCTTGAGAAAGATGAACAAAGCTGGAGGTATCACAGCTCCAGATTTCAAACTATACTACAAAGCTGTAGTGATCAAAACAGTATGGTACTAGCACAGAAATAGACACATAGATCAATGAAACAGGATAGAGAACCCAGAAAGAAACTCATGTTTGTATGATCAATTGATCTACTACAAAAGAGGCAAGAATATACAATGGGGGGAAAGACAGTCTCTTTTTGAGACAGATTCTCATAAATGCTGTTGGAAAAACCAGACAGCTACATGCAGAAGAATGAAACTGGACTGCTTTCTTACACATACACAGAAAGGAACTTCAAATGGATTAAAACCTAAATGTGAGACCTGAAACATGAAAGTCCCAAAAGAAAACATAGGCAGTAATCTCCTGGACACCAGCCTTAGTGACATTTTTTTTTGGATATGTCTCCTCAGGCAAGGGAAACAAAGGCAAAAACAAACTATTGGGAATACACCAAAATAAAAAGTTTTGCACAGCAAAAGAAACCATGAACAAAAAGAAAAGGCAGAGAATGGGAGAATGAATGGGAGAAGATATTTGCAATGATATATCTGATAAGGGGTTAATATCTAAAATATATAAAGAATTTATACAACTCAACACCAACCCCCCCCAAATAATTAGACTAAAATGGGCAGAGAACCTGTATAGACATTTTTCCAAAGAAAACATACAGATGGCAACAGGTACATGAAAAGATGCTCGACATCACTGATCATCAGGGAAATGCAAATTAAAACCACAAGGAGAAATCACCTCACACCAGTCAGAATAGCTAGTACCAAAAAGACAAGAAATAGCAAGTGTTGGTGAGGATGTGGAGAAAAGGGAACCTTTGTGGTACACTGTTGAGAATATAAATTGGTGCAACCAGTGTGGAAAACATTAAGGAGTGTCCTTAAAAAATTAAAAATAGAAATACTGTATGATCCAGTAATTCCATTAATTTACCCAAAGAAAACAAAAATACTAATTGGAAAAGATCTATGCAACTGTGTGTTTATTGTGGCATTATTTATAACAGCCAAGATATGGAAGTAACATAAGTGCCCTTGGACAGATGAATGGATAAAGATAGGGCACACACACACACACACACACAAGCGTGCGCGCGTGTGCCCGTGCATGCACACAATGGAATTACTCAGCCATAAAAAAGAATGAGATCTTGCCATTTGCAACAACATAATGGACCTAGAGGGTATTATGCTAAGTGCAATAGATCAGAGAAAGGCAAAAACTGTATGATTTCACTTAAATGTGGAAATTGAACAAACAAAACAAATGAGCAAACAAAAACAGAAACAGGCTCATCAATACAGAGAACAGGTTGGTGGTTGCCAGCGAGGACAGGGGTGGGGAAAGGGGAAAATAGGTGAAAGGGATTGAGAGGTACAGAGGAAAAGATCTCTGTAAACAGAACACAACCTCAGGCCTTATTACCCTTATTTAGCAAACTCTCACCTCTCCAATAGTGCCAGTTATCAGGAGAGAAGCACAATTTCACTGTAAGCTACTGAGGGAAGTAAACCTGTGTTTTCTTAGTAACAATCCACAGAGAATTTGGTAGATAAACTGCCTCGTATATGTGAATGTTCACTTTCCGCCTGTTTGAATTATCAGAAGCCAAGCGTTCCTGGATTCACTGCGGATTCTTGCACAATCTTCAGGCTGAACACTTGATGCACCACCTTTGGGTAGTGTTTGCCAAAACATGGAGTAAATATCATAATCACCTCAATTATTCTTCATGGCTTAGGCATTAAAAAATATTCAATCACATTGCGAGAAATTGAAGTCCAGTCCTCAGGTTCAGTTTTCTGCAGACTACTGTAGTATCCAACTCCAATAGTTGTTTATTGTTATGGTTGCTTTCTGTTTATGGTATGAAATATTAATTTTCTATTTATGGGATTGAAATTAAGTTGTCTTTTGAAATAAATTGAGTTAAGTAGAACAGTGATTTGACTTAGAGAAAAATATTCAGTAAATGATAGCGTAGGTAGAACATAGGGCAATTGTCACCAAGGAGGGGCTGAAGTTTGGGAAACACTACTTTAAGAGATATTCCTGCATAATATCTAGGAGATGACAGTCTCTAGAACAGTTTCCCTTGTTTCCATGTATTTTATAAAGGAAAAATTAGCAAAGTAGTGATGCATCTTATTAAATTTTGAAACCTTTTTGAGAAGTGATGGCGAGGATGGGAAGAAGATGATAATCTTTATTGAGAGTTTCTTTGCTAAATGGTTTTCATGCGTGCTCATTTGTTTCTCATAACAACTTTGAAAAATTAGTATTAATCTGCACATTCAGGTTTAGGTCTGAGCTTCACTCCTTCCTTCTGACTACCCTGTTGAGATATCAAATCTTGTGTGCCAACTGCAGCAGGTATGGTAAAGGTGAAGAATGTGAGGTACAAATGACTGTGTGGAAAAGCATGAAGTTTGGAGTTATGGTTTACCTGAGTCTGAATCCTAGATATGGACACTGCTGAGCCTCACTATGCCGTTTACTGTGTTATTTACTGTGTGCAAACTTTTTCTGAGCCATTTTCTTTTAACCTATAAAATGTAGAAAATTATAACTAGCTTAGGAATTGTTGGAAGGACTGAGTAAAATAGCAGAGGTAAAGCATTTAGCACAGTACCTGGTAAGTAAGCAGTTACTCAATGTTAGCTCCCTTGTTCTAGTTTTTAGAAAAGATCCTAGATGTTCTCCGTGTCTGTTGAGACTGAATGTAGTTATCAGATACACATATAAAATGGAAAAGTGACTCTCTCCACCCATGAACAAATATCTGATTCGTTCTCTAGCCCTCACCCCACCACAAGAGAATAATTAAGGATGAGAGATAGAGTTACCATTCGGTCACATCTATTCACAAGTTAATAAATCAAATGCATTTTAACTTTTCTCTTTTCTCCTTTCCTGGTATCCACAAAAAGCGTTTGCCTTTATAAAAGATCTGAAGTAAAGCCTCCCGTGTGATAAACATTTGGTTCCTTTCATTGTATAAGGAAATATTAAATACAGAAATATATTTATTTTAATCTGTTTTAATAGCGTATTTCATCAATAATAGCATATGTTTTTCTGTATTGGCCACTGATAGCTGTTAAAAACAAGTTCAGGAATGCCATTCAGACATTTATAGTTCTGAAAAAAGAACTCTAAAATATCATCCCAACATATTCTGTTATAAAAATGGCTCTTACCTCCCTTTTTCCTTTCACCAAAATCTTCAAAGATCCTGTCAGACTTTCTTAGGTTATATGAACTTACTTCCTATGATGGATAATAAAAATGAAAAGGTTTTTTTTGTAAGGGTCAATGCAAATCTTCATGAATAAATTATCTGAAAAACAAATTGAGGGTTCTAGAGGGCAGGGGGGTGGGAGGATGGGTTAGCCTGGTGATGGGTATTAAAGAGGGCACGTTCTGCATGGAGCATTGGGTGTTATGCACAAACAATGAATCATGGAACACTACATCAAAAACTAATGATGTAATGTATGGTGATTAACATAACAATAAAAAAGAAAAAAATTATATATAGAAAAGGACTTAGAAAATTCACCAGAAAGGATCAATATTTTCATTTATTTTCAGAAATAAAGAGTTTGAAGAAGCTGTTGATTTCTTCACCTGGGCTCTTAAAATTAATCCCTGTTTTCTGGATGCTTATGTTGGACGGGGAAATTCTTACATGGAATATGGTCATGAGAAAGCCACCAAACAAGCACAGAAGGACTTTCTGAAAGCGTTGCACATTAATCCAACATATATAAAAGCCAGAATTAGCCTTGGCTATAATTTGCAGGTAACATATAACAACATGTTAACCCATAAAAGCACCTTTTGGACAAGGGAAAGACTATATTTAGCCCTTTACTGGTGATTGGGATATATGTTATTTCTTTGGTCATGTACATTTTACCTTTCCCTTACTATCAGTATCCAGAGCAGAGCTTCTGGAGGGGTTTATTAGTTCCAGGGAGCTTACCTGTGGACCACACCCAGGGACCTGGCCTACTAGTGAGATGTGGACCCTTTGAACCTGAGTTTCCTTAATGCGTGTACCCCGCCTTACCTTACCCCCACTCTTACATACAACTTTTGAAATGTGCCTGATGAGTTTCACATATAAGAATGTGGCTAACGTTTGTTTCACTAACTTATACTTGGGCCCCATAGGTATTGTCCTGTTGAATTAATGACAAGCTAGAGAGAATAAACAGTGTACGAAAGTTTTGAAGTGGACTTTAGTCATGCAGTGGATCAGACAACCACTGTATAGGGATTTAAGTCATCTTCCAAATGGCAATGAGCCCATACTGGGAAGGCAAGAGACCAGGTGTTTGTCTTTTCAGCAAAATGGGAGAGTGTTACTCTGTCTGTTACCAAGCAGGTCTCTGAGTGATTTCTGGAACACTCTGACCTGACCTATGCACTCACCAACCTATTTGCACTAATAAATATGTAGTGACATTCTTGGAATACAGTGCTAAGTGTGCTATATTTTCCATGAAGAGGAACGGAGCGATTTTAAATTTTCTTCTTTTTTTTAATATTCAAAATTTTAGAGAATGGGCAAAAAATGTGTTCAAATTACCATAATCTGCAGAAATTCTTATTAATAATCTGCAATTAAAGTTGATTTTTTAAAATTTGAAAATGAGTTTGGCTGATCTAATAATATTAATAATATTGGAGGTGATTGTTAGGATTGGTGGTTATAGTGGGATATGCCCAAGAACTCATTAATAAGGGAAATAAGATTTCCCTTTGAGACTAAATTAGCCATCATTGGATCACAGTAGAAATTTACAGTCAACTTGAAGAGACAGGATGACTCCCAAAGCTGCAAGAGCTGACTGCAGTACAATGAAATGTGTTAGCATCATCATTCATTGCATTCAGTAGGCATTTTACTGAGCCCCTAATATAGGAGAAGAAATGCTCTAGACCTAGGGATACAGCAGTGAACCAAATATACTTGATTCTTCTGTAGAGTTTACTACCTAATAAAGAGATGAGTATCAAGCAACCATAGGAATAGTTATTTAATTATACTCGTGATACAAAGGAAAAGGATGGGTTTTAGGACAATTTATAACAAGGAAAACTAGATTTGTTTAAGGGGTAAGAAAGGAATTTTTGAGAAATTAACATTTAAATTGAGTGTGAAAGACTAGTAATCAGTCAGTTAAGAGTTGAAGCTAGGACATAGTGAACAACCCTTTAGAAAGTCTTGTGAAAGAGACAGAGGGCCCAAGTGGATGGAGTGTTATGATAAGAAGTGAGTGTTGTAGGACAGGCTAGAGAATTGGAAAATGACTGGAGGTGAAGGCCTTGCGGGCCAGTTACAAATGTTAATATAATTAACCGAAGCAACAACATCAGATTTTTGTTTTATGAAGATCTTACTTGGTATGTATCAACCTGAAAGAAGATTGAGAAACACATCAGTAGGAAGAAGGATTGAATCAGGAAAGAAAGGACTGAGAAAAGAGAGAGAGGTTCATCCAAGTTCTGCCCAAGGGAAAGAGTAACCATTTGTTCAACAAATACTTAACAGATTTTCCTACTATGTGCCTCGCACTAGGGATAGCGAGGTTAGCTAAAACAGATTTCAGGAACAGATGACAGATATCCCATTGTGAGGCTGTTTGCAGCTTAATATTCTTATATTCCTTGTTTCTCCAATGAATTTGTTATGACAGTGTTGATTTTCGCATAATTTGCCCAGAGGGAGAAGATTTGCCAGTTAAAGAACAGTGTGTAGTTATCTTATTAGTTTTATGCAAGAGTCACTGGGCTCAGTTTGGTTAATGTGAGTCAGCTTCTCACCTTCTGAGATTCTGGCAAGTTGGATTTTTAGCCTATGCAAATAAAGGACAGACTCTGGACTCAGTGGATTTATCAACTCACTACCTTACACTGATGATGTATTTAGTTGCTAGCTGGTCTTCTCTACGAAATATTCAGATACCTTTCAATTAACAGTGCCCCTCTCCTAACTTTTTTCTTGTTTTCCAGTTGGTGCTAAGGTTTGTATAAACAAAAACTTGGTAGATTTGAATGCATTTTCCGTGGAATATGTATAATGACCCTAAAATTCCAGATGCTGGTACAATTTATCAAAATAGGTCTCACACTATTAGTTTGTTCTCTTATTTATTCAACGCATTTATTTTATTATGTTCATTATATATATATATATATATTATGTATAACTGAAGATTCAATGCCAGGCAATAAATACAATCTCTGCCTGTGTGTGTGGAGTTCAGTATAAACTTTGTGGTGATGATTGTCAGAAGTTTTGGTGTTTCATATGGTGGCCATGATTGTATGTTGTCCAAGACTGGCATAAGAGATGACTCTGACAATTAGATTTGTTTTAATTAATTAAAATGTTAGCATAAATACTCAGAGGTAATTTAGTCAATTGAATGCACTCAGAGTACAGTCTACTTCCTTGTTTAAAATAGCTTAGATTTAGCACAATATAAATTTACCCTTACTAAAGGCTTTATTTGATTAAGTTAGAACCATAAACATTTGTCATGTTATGGACAATTTCCTACTTCAAGTAAATGAAAAATTTTTTTAGGCCCAAGGAAAATTCCAGAAAGCTTGGAATCACTTTACCATTGCCACAGAAGTTGATCCAAAATGCTACTTAGCCTATGAAGGAAGAGCTGTGGTCTGTCTTCAGATGGGTGATAATTTTGCTGCAATTCAAGATATTAATGCTGCCATAAAGGTAAAAATCCACTTAGATGATATTATCATTAGCATCAATTAACACCATTAATGAATAGGGTCATGTATCTTCTCTGTAACTTTTTTTTTTTTTTTAAGATTTTAGTTATTTATTTGACAGAGAGAGACACAGTGAGAGAGGAAACACAAGCAGGGGGAGTGAGAGAGGGAGAAGCACGCTTCCTGCAGAGCAGGGAGCCCAATGCGGGGCTGGACCCAGGACCCTGGGATCATGACCTGAGCCGAAGCCGAAGGCAGACGCTTAACGACTGAGCCACCCAGGCACCCCTCTCTGTAACTTTTTAAAGTAACTTGTAGGGAAAATTATATATATATATTTTTTTCCCAAGAGATTCCTGAAGAGTTTTTATGTCTTGCCAATTTTATAACTGAACTACATTTAAAATCCAAAATATAAACTCATGATAAATGTTGATTCCTTTCAGTAAATGCAATTTATAGTTTCATGGGACATCAATATTATTTTGTCATAAAAAATGAATGCAAAACATAAAAAAAAGTTCTGGGTTCAAAGGAACTAAAGAAAGAACAATACAAATCCCTAGATTCTTCTGTAGTTAAATGGCAAATAAAACCCTCAGGTTTTGTATACAGTGACAGAAAATTTTCTTTTCTTATAGCTTTTGGATTCTGTTTCTGTAGAAATGGGCAGATTTTGTAAACTTTGAGATGCGAAAAAAGGAAAGAACTGAAAGATAATTGCTACTACTTGGACAAATAAGCATGTTAACTATTTAATTTATTCTCCAGTGTAACGGAGTCAAACAAATAAGCTTCCTGCCAACCATGTCTATCCTTTGGAAAGGAACTGAGTAAAGCACTAAGATTATTTGTTTTATTGCAACCAAATCAACAAAGGGTTGACACTGAATCAACTTCATACCGAGTCCTTTCTCAAAATATTTGCTCTAATGGGGTTTCACCTGCACTATAAAATTACTCATTTCCCACAAGTAGATTTCATAACATTCATTTTTACAGACATGAAATTGGAGATACATACTGTTCCCAGATGCTAAATACTCATACTATTATATTGCAGATCAATACTACAGCAGAATTCTTGACAAATCGTGGTGTGATTAACGAGTTTATGGGTCAACAACAAAATGCAATGAAAGACTATCAAGCAGCAATTTCTCTAAACCCCACGTATTCACTGGCTTACTTTAATGCAGGAAATATCTATTTTCACCATAGGCAGTTTTCTCAGGTAATGAGTTTTCCTTAACATTTTATTTTTGATACTAAATGCTTTCTTTGTTATATAGAATTTCAAAAAGCAATCCTTACATCACAGGCTAATCATTCATTAGCTCTTTTTTAAAAAGTTCTATTTCATAACAATGTTTGTGATTATTTATTACATGTTCACATCTCTATGGATTTATTCTCCTCATTATCATCAACCATTCAACACTTGTCCAGTAAACATTGTTCTGGACTTTCCCCAAATGTGGGCCATTGCCTTGCTGTCCATTATTGCCAGCTTCTGGCCTAGAATCCTCTCTCTGCCCCCACTTAGACAAATCTCAGACTTCCTTCAAGACTCTTTTACACTGATGTGATTATCTAACTCATCTTAATTGCTACCTTTCCTAAATTTTAGTCACATGAGCATTTGACTGGGAGTGAGGTGATAAGGATGTCAGTTCTGGTTTTATAACATCTTAATCATTTTAGAATGTCTGAAATGAAAGTATTGGGTTATTAGATGATATTTTTTATATTTTGAATTTATTTTATTTGCACTGTAATGCACTTACATAATTCAAACACAATTTTAACTTTTTATTTATATTCACTCTTTTGTTCTTTATTTTCAACTTATCTTGTTCTTTGCCTGTCTCTGAGTCAGAAGTTTCACTTATTGTCACCCTTTAATTTATACTGTGATGAGTTGTCAAGGTTAGGCCATTTCCCTAAGTACTGCTTCTAGCAGTATCCTATGTATTTCGGTCTGTAATGTTTGTTTGTTTTTTTCCTAAAACGTTACACCTGAAATGTTATTTCCCCTTGGACTAAAGAATAAATTAATAGGACACTTAAAATGTCCAGGTGGAAGGGCTTTTATATTTTCTAATTTTGGAGTTTATTGAGTTTTAATGTGGTCTTGTATATGCCAACTTAAAAAAAAAATGCTCCAGGAGCCTTTGCAAAAAAGAATTTCTACTATAAGGATATAGAGTTAAAAATATCCATATAAGATCTAGCTTATAAGTTATGTTTTTAATTTAGCCTATATCCACACTTGTTTTTCATTTGGTTTATTTTGGAGTGAAAAAGGTGTAAGTACCTTAAAATTAGTGTTTTCTTTACATCTCTTGTAATTTCTACTTTATGAAAATTGCTGCCACATTATTATTTTATACAGATATTCATACGCATTACATATGAATTGTGAATGCATTTCAAATGCCCTCTGTTTCTTTAAAATGGTCTTAGGAATAAATTCTGATATGAAGATCATAACCTCTGATTTCATCTGGTTTGCTTTTGCCTGGTATTCCTTTGCCCTTCCCTTTATTTTCAGTTCAGAATCCTTTATTTCAGGTTTGTATCTCTTTTATACAGCATAGAGTTAGATTTTGCTTTAGATGACAATTTGAAAATACTCAGCTTTTAATAATAATAATAATAAAATTTTGGCATGGTTGATCTTAGTTCTGCTATTTAATGTCATATTTCCTTTGTACACGTATTTGATATATTTTATTCTGTGGTCTACTTTAATTATTTTCAAAGGTAAGTAGGTTTACAGTTTTGCTTTAGTGATTACCTTTATAAAAATACCTTTATACTCTTAGTTCCTTATTTCTTTAGTTTCTCTATTACGAACAACAATAAAATTGCCATTTAATCTCTTCTTCCCTTACTCTTCCCTCTCATTCATTTGTTGATTTTAGTTAATAGTATTCTTTCTCTTTAAAAAAATTATATTTTTATTCTTAAATGTGTATAAGCTTACAGTGTCAGCTGGCACCAGCCTTCTACTCTGTCTCTCTTCTCCCATTTTGTTGTGAGTTTCATTATTCCTCCACTGCCAAAGGGCTTAATATTTGCAAACTATTTTGTTACCCTTATTTCACATTTTAGTCTTAGTTCTCCAGTTAAGTATATTCAGTTCTCATCACCAGGCTTTTTGCCAAAGTTTCCCTCCCAAACACTCATTTCTTAGTTGCCTGAAATTGGTCTTCTAGCAGAGTCCTGAGAAAGGGCTCATGAGAACAATATTCCTTGAATCTTTTTTATGTTCATAGCTGTTTGCCTGCAGTGTTTACAACTTAAGGCAGCTTGTCTGGGTTTAAAATTCTGAGTCACTTTTTCTTTCCTTGAGTGTCTTAAGTATTGTTTCCCTATTTTCTGGTTTTGTATGTTGGTGTCAAAAAATGATCTTTTTGATGGAAACCTGATTTTCATTATTTTATCAGTGACTTCTTTTTGTCAAGATAACCAAAGATTTCTTTTTTTAAGTAAAAAGTTTTGCCAAGATATGTCTCAGAGTTGGCCATTTGGAGTCAGTTTTAAAGTACACAGTGTGCATTTTCAATATGTAGATTTCAGAAAAGTTTTGTTGAATTTAGTATAAAAATTTTTTGTTTCATTATTCTCTTCATTGGGAATAAATGCCAATTATTATATATAAGATGCCCTTTGACTTCTATATACCAATTATTTTTCTCATGTTTTATATCTCTTAGTTTTTATTTCATTTTCTTTGCCTTTTTCACATCTCTCCTCTAAATCTTTCCTTTGTTCTCTGAAATCTCTATTATCCCCTGTGGACCTTATAGGTCAGGTTTTTAAAAAATAAATTTTTTTTTTCTAGTTTCATCTCATTTCCATGTCTTACCTTCCTGGCTGCCTCATTTCTGAGATCCTTCATTTCTAATTTATTTTTTCTTTTTTTTTTTAAAGATTTTATTTATTTATTTGAGAGAGAGAGTGAGAGAGAAAGAGAGCACAAGAGGGAGGAGCAGGAGAGGGAGAAGCAGACTCCCTGCTGAGCAGGTAGCCCGATGTGGGACTCGATCCCTGGACTCCAGGATCATGACCTGAGCTGAAGGCAGTCGCTTAACCAACTGAGCCACCCAGGCGCCCTGATTTATTTTTTCTTAAAGGCAATTGCTCCCTTAGCAATTTTTTTCTAGTTCATTTTGAAACGTTATGTTATAATTTTTGTCTACGTTGTAAAAAAATACTTTTTTATCTGGTGAGTTTCTATTCTCTTTCTAAAAATTAAGCTATCATTTTTCATCCTTGTTTTTACAATGAAGGCAGGCAAATTACTTTTCCGTTACTCACATTTGGAGGAGATAAATTTTGTTCCTTGCCTAATAGCAGAGATTCTTATGGGAATCAGGGTGATGAGCCATGGTAACTGTCCAAGTTGCTCTCCCTTTGATGCTATGACAAAGGACTTTACAAAATGTCCTCTCTAGCCTAGCTGGTCTGGGAAGGCTTCTACCACAAGCTCTGTGTTTCTCACAACTTTTCACAACCCTTGCCTTCTAAGATGACATACTCATTGTATTTTATTTCTTTTAAGATTTTATTTATTTATTTGACAGAGAGAGAGTGAGAGAGCACAAGCAGGGGGAGAAGCAGAGGGAGAGGGAGAAGCAGGCTCCCCACTGAGCAGGGAGCCCAACCTGGGGCTCGATCCCAGGACCCTGGGATCATGACCTGAGCCGAAGGCAGATGCTTAACCGACTGAGCCACCCAGGAGCCCCTGACATACTCATTTTAAAAAGCTGTTTTTATTGCTTGCATTCTCCGAGACCTGTAACCTCTGTGTTCTCTTGTGCCACCTAATACTGCCACCATATCCCTTAATAAAATGATCATTGGGTCATCTTTATGTACCAAGAGGCTATGCTTCTTGTCTCTATTTTGCTGGAAAAGTTCAGCAAATACTTCCTTATACCACTTAGCTCTCCATTCCTTCAATCTCCATATATTTATGATGTACCTGCCACGTATGAAGCATTAATAATACCCTGAGGGTGCAGAGCTAAACAAGATAAGAAAGGCTTTTTTTTTTTTTTTCTGATGGAACTTACTTTTTATTGGAGGAAGAAATAGAAAATAAACAAGAAAATATTAGTAGTGATGAACATTGAATACAGTCTCACATAAGCATTATTCTATCAGTCTGAGCACATGTGTAGGCCTCTAGGAGATTGAGAGTGCCTGAGTGGAGAGAAGGGGTTCAAGGAGCAAGCTCTGGGGGAAGACCAATGTTTAAGAGTGAAGCAGAGAGGAGACGCCAGAGAATAGGCCGAGAAGAGAGCATCCAGCCAGGATGATGGGAAGAAAAGCAGCAGAGTCTGATAACACCTTGAGAATCATGTGCTTTAAGAAGGGAAAAGTGTCCTGAGTCAAACGCTGTTAGGAGAGGTCAAGGAAGAGGAGCTTGGAGGAAGTCCCTGATGATTTTGGCAAGAACATTGTTGCGACAGTGGTGAGACAGAGCCTTGAGTAGGTAAGGGTTGTGGAGGAAATGTGAGGTGAAGAATTAGAGCAGTTCAACTGGTTCAGGAAGTTCTGTGACAAGAAGTAGTGAAATGAGAAGTAGTGAAATGAGGTAGAGTGCGGTAAGAAGTTCTCTTTATTTTGTAAATATGAAGGATAGTGATTCATGCTCCTATGTTAATAAAAAATGTAGTAGAAAAGAAGAAATTGTTGGGGCAGGAGAAAGTGGCAGGGATAATTAGGATCGAAATCTTTGAGAACTGAGGTTAAAGTTTGGAAGTTGTTGGGTGGCCTTTGAAGGGAGCAGGACACACTACGGATTATGTTGTGAGGGAAGGCAGAAAGTTGGGGCACAGTTGAATGCAGACAGGCAGATTTTGACAAGTAGGCATTTCTACTTATTGACTATATTTTCTCTATGGGATATGAGTATCAGTTATCAGTAAGAGTGGCGTGGACCCTTAAAAAGGAGGGTGGGGTGGCTAGGAGTTCTGAGGAGAAAAGAGAAAATGTGAAGTAACTGTTACAGAAAGTAGTACGGTGAGCATACTAGGGAAGTGTAGTAACCAGACAACATTAAGTTCTGTGTTCTTTCCTCTCTGTCTTGATATATACTGGATGCTTGGGCTTCACAGTGTACATGCCCTCCAGAGTTAAGCAGACTTTGCAAGTGGTTATGCAGCTGTGCTATATTTTAGTATGTTAGAGGCCTCTTTGGGGAGGAAATGGCTTCTGTTCCCTGCTCCCTACCTCCTCAACCTTTGTTTCTAACTGTCCTGGAAGGAAAATTTAGGGGCAGGAAGAAGGGTCCCTCAATAGATCAAATAATCCCTAGAAGCTTCAAATCTAGATATGTTCTGGCTTCTTTTATCATTAATTAGTGACTTAATAATTTTAAATCACTTTTGGATGAGCTAAGTGCATGCATCATGAACTATGGTGACTTTAAAAAAATAACTGGATCTGTTTTTTAATTAATTAGAGATATTAAGGCATTAGACCAATTGTTAAAAAATCAAGGCCATCATTGTGGTAGGTGTCTTTGGCCTTTAATTGTTTCATAGCCATTACTCCTATACTTCAAGTTACTTCATTAATGGATAGGATTTTATTTTCTAAGCAATATATTTTAGAAGCCATAATAGAAAGTTATATTATTCACAGTTAGGCATATTATTGTGTGTTATTGAATTCTTTTATCTTAGCTGAGGTAGGCATTGGCTCCTACCTGATTGAAGTAATTCTTTTGTGATGTAGAATAGTGTGGCCTTTATTGATCATTTACTGGTTAATTAAAATGAAACCTAAGTTACTTATTGAAGAAAGTTTTGGCCCTACTTGGAGTCATTTCCTTGCCTCATTTCTGATGATCTGATGATTCTGATCATCCAGCCTTCTGTTCGGGAGTGAATTCTCTTTAAGCTCTTCACAGAAGGATGTCAATTCTGCCACCCTCTTAACAGATTCTTCTAATTGCACTTAGCTGCCATATAGAATAGTTTCATCCAAAAATGAGATGGGTTATACAATCTTGATCTAATGCCTCTCGAAAGTCAGAGGCAGCAAAATTCATGGAGAATTGCCTTAGGGTTATGTTGTCTCTCTGTTTGTAGACACTAGGAAGAAATGATATATCAATAATAATTGAGTTGAAAATAATTGATATTTTGAATATATATGGATATTTTGTATATACTTTACATATTAACCTCACTTAATCCTAAAAGCAGCACTGGAAGTAGAGTTCTGTTTGTTACTTCCATTTTACAGACAGGAAAACTGGGTACAAAAGTTACTCACCCAAAGATATAGAGATAACAAGTGGTGAAGCCAGGATTTGAACCTAGAAATCTGGCTCCGTGGTTTGAGCTCTTGGCCACCATGCTACCAGTGTTCCATTTCACTCATGATGGAAGTGAATTGAAATCAAATCCCTGGGAAACATAGAGAAAAATAGTTCAGTGATGGAGACAGAGAGAATGATCTGAGAGGTAAGAGAAAAACCAGAGAGACACTCTTATACCAAGGACAGAGAATTTTACAAAGGAAGGAGAGATCAGAAGTGTCCATGCCACAGAAATGTGCCGAAAGTAAAGAACTAGAAAATGTCCATTGGTCTTGAGGACATCTACAGCCTTAGCAAGACTGGAATTCACAAAATAGGGGGAGATAGATAGAAACAAGATTGTGGTGTGTTGGGAAAAACTGAATAGTAAAAAATCGGAGAACAACCCGTATTGTTAAAAATGACTTTTCCTTTAAGTGAAGTAAGTTTTAAAGTAGAAGCCAAATTTTTATCCATCATGGAATTAGAGAAGAGATTTCTATCTTGACTAGTAGGATGTCTAATCAGCATCTGAAGCTATTTGTGGTGAAAGGCCATTTAAAAATTCTAACTTATTATTCATCAATATGTTACTAAAACACAATATAAACAGGTTACTGGAAATATATTCACGTGCTGGAATGTCATAGCCACGTCAAAGTGCTATAAATGGTACTAATGGTTTACTCTTAGTTTCTGTACTTACTCTCTTTACAGAGCTGTAGTAAATTATTTCTCAGACTGAGACTCCAAAACCAGTCTACAGACCACACTTTGAAGGGTCCTTTCAGCTCCATGATGAGTAGAGAATGATCTAGAGTCTGATTTTCTTGACAAGTAGATTATTTTCCTCTCTTCCTTCTTCATAACTTTCATAGTGTCACTAAGTTTTTATCCCTTTTTGTTATGGTTTAGAATCTTATTTAGAAAATTCATTTACCTTTTTAGCTCTTAGATACTCTGCTTTTATATGAAAAATATTAATTTTCTAACATTTTATCTTGTTATGACCTTCCTTTCTAATTTATATTTTACCTTTTCCTGGTGCTGTATAAGGATGTGGGATTTGAGGGGTAAGTAGTGGAGCATTTCGCCTCAGCAAGGAGTAGTATTTTATCACTGACATTATCGAGATTTGCCAACACGTGGTGATAATAAAAAGCAAACTGACTTTTGGCTGGTTTTATTATTGTTTTTTACATTGTCTAGACAATGCACCTCTTTTTTAAAAAATCTTATTTATTTATTCGACATAGAGAAAGAGAGAGATCATGAGTAGGCAGACAGGCAGGCACAGGCAGAGGGAGAATCAGGCTCCCCGCTGAGCACAGAGCTGGATGCAGGGCTCAATTCCAGAACCCTGGGATCATGACCTGAGCCAAAGGCAGACGCTTAACCAACTGAGCTACCCAGGCGCCCCATGCACCTCTTTTTCAACTCTATCTGGGATGAAATGCTTCCACTTCCCCCTTGGCATGCCAATGTCCTTATTTTATTTTATTTTAGCATTTTTTTATTATGTTATGTTAATCACCATACATTACATCATCAGTTTTTGATGTAGTGTTCCATGATTCATTGTTTGC